AGCTGTTGTTGCTCGACTTTCAGAAATTTGTCTACCTGCAAGACCACCACCACTGGTGTCTTTTACTATCAGCTCAGGTTTAGCACTAGCATCTGATGATAGGTGGGCTACATGCTGATCAATCACACTGACGGTCTCACAAGTATGTATGCCTTCTGCAACTGCATCTGCATTTATTTCTACTTCACGTTGTAGTTGTACAGAACCTTTAATTAACTTAGCAGTAGTAGGCATATCCCTCATCTCATCATGATCAACCAAAGACAAATCTGCACTATCATGATCATTATCCCGAATATTCAATTTACCATCATCTATCTGGTCGACTTCATCAATTTCAAACTCTTTAATAACAGAAGTAGACAATTTTGGTTCCTTCTCACAAATCCCCAAAGATTTTATACCTTCACTCTGACTAGTAATACCTCGTAAACTTGTGGAGTCAGAACTGCACTCTGAGACTGTAACTCTCTTCTGTGGCATACTATTCAACAATGGCTTACCAGTTGCAACTACAGACTTCCTGACCGCACCGTTATCGTCACACAATTCGGAGTCAGGCCTGGAGTTTACATTTAGCTTATCACTGAACTTGCTCACTGATTCACAGTTCACCTCTGTATGCACCTCTTGCAAACGTGTAAAACACAACCGTGTTTGTCTTGCATCTTGTAACTTATCTGTTGAGGATGTACTACGAAACCTGTTACACTCACTAGGTCTATATGCATTACTAGACATCATGGAGCCTTCTCGATATCCACCTCTCTGAGGCCTATTCGTCATCAATGATTGCGTTTTACCCTCAGACTGCTCTATTCTAGGGGTGAGATTCAATATACTGGCAAACTTGCTCATAGATTGATTGACACTATCTTTTACTAGTTTCAGGATATCATCAAACTTTGGCTCGATACCCTCATCCTCCATACGGGAGCTTATCTTCACCCACTTCCTTTGCAGTCGAGTAGGTAGGCGTCTCGCAATTACCTCTAGGACTGAGCTCGAGTTGAGGTCACTCATGCAATTCATAGAAATCAAGGTATTCTTATAAGTCATAAGATTATCTAAAAACTCAGTAAGTGCCTTGGAGTCATCTTGAAGTTGACTGCCGTTACCTTTGACAGCTTCGTATACGTTCCTTACAATCATTGAAGGTCTTCCAAACCTTTGACGTAATATGCTCATAGCCTCAGCGTATCCCTCATTAGGGGGCATGAGCTTACAGCACTGTATAGCTCTTGCAGCATCTCCAGTGCAATATCTCATCAAATACATCAATTTCAATTCATCACTTAATAAAAAACTACTCAGCATGATCTCAAACTCCTTTACAAATTGTAAATAATCAGCCGGGTTTCCATCGAAACACTGTGGTTCAAATTTAGGGAGTTTGATGTTCCTATTATCCCTGAACGGCGAAACAGTAACATCAACCATGTCATGCTTAACATCAGACACATCGTTACAATTAACAGACAAGTCAACATGACTTACTTTCCTGTTTGCATCCAAGACACTCTGTCCCTTCTTTGACCCAGGCATTGTTGAACTTGAACCAATTCCAAAATCGTTCCAGATATTGCTTGTTCAAAGAGGACTTGACCGGCACCAGGAAAGATGAACGGTGACTATCCAAAGTCGTGCCAACTGTCCAAAACCGTTTAAAAACTGACGTTGTACCGTCAGAAACTGTCAGCCACGTCTCGTAAACCGTTAATGCCCAGCTCTTGCTACGCTCGGGCTCACGCTGTTCCTTGAAGTTTCTCAGAAACGCTTAATAATAACGGACGCGAAAACCAAAACACCGATTGGTCACTCGAGAATTCTTTATTGTAACACCAACATATAAATCACGTATGACTAAGGTCTGTGAACAAATATAACAATAATAAATCACAATATTACTTCTGACGGTTTACTGCTGACTTCTTTCTGAACAGCGACCGATGAGACGATGACTGTCGTATTGATGCCTCCGCGAAAATTGGGGAAGTTGGTTTTGAGCAAACAACCATGAATTGATCATTCAATCTGCAACTACATTGATAGTCACCATCAAATTTGCGCGACAACCCAAGCCTCGTTCTGTCTCTTGCTGATAATTATAGTCTACTATTTAACGGTGAATATTTATGTAAGAACTATGCATTACGTGATTTAGAGGCATTTCAGGAAGATAAGAATGTCCTGGAAATTTGCGAAATGATGCAAAATGCAATTATGGATGATAAGTCGTTGCAAGTGCACTTAAAAGATATATACAAGAACGAGATACAGAGACCTAGGAATGATAGTATACATGTGCAGTGTTTGATGCTTGCCATATTGGTTAAAGCATGAAAACAATGACGTTTTTGATGAAAATATGGCTTTGTTCAAACATTAGTGTTGTGTTTTTAATCAAAGCAAGCAAATAGGAACAAAGAGTAAGTTGTAGCTTTATTAAAGGCCCAGGTGGTTAAGATAATATAGAGTACAACAGTGTGTAAACAAAAGGGTTATCGTGAGGTAGGTAGGTGATATTTCAGTGAGAAGGGAATTTAAAGACCCAGAAGATTAGAACCCGCAGGACAAGCTGACTTGTAAGATGTCCGTGAATTTCTCTGGTGCCCGCGGGGTAGCATGTTGATAAGAAGCTGAAAAGGCTTGTAGATGGAAGGAGTAAAATCTTGTTGGTTTGATTTTGATCCATGCAGTAATTATTGTTTTTTATTTTTAAGGATGCAGACTAATGTTCGATTCTCGAGATGTCAAAAAATGCATGTTTCTGTCCTGCAGGTCGGAGTGGTTCACATTTGTGACCACTACCATATCTGCTGATCAGCAGAAGAGTCGGTTACTTAAGCACTTGAGGTACTTGCCTCATAGTGAAACTAGACTGGTAGTTTGTTTGGCTTGGCTTACACTAGTAGGTTAAGTCAAGAAACACAACTTTTTAGTAATCCCAGCATTCTTCAACTTTGTGTCCGGTTTATTTCCGTGGTGATGACGCTAACTCATGTGACACTATCCACAATGTATTCACCTCCAGCTTCAAAGCCGCTTGAGTTCCCTGGGTTAAAACCGGTGCTTCACCAAAAGGTGTAGACAGCTAATGCAAACGCTTCAATGAAGCCTGATAATCTTCACCCAAGACCTCTGAAGGTGCTAGAAGGGCACACAGCTGGCCCGTCAGTCGTCATTTTCAGGTTAACCATCTCAAATGGAATATCGTCACATGATTGGGAAAACTCATAGTAGCCCCTCCAAGTAAAGTGCAACATAGGCTTATGTTTTCAAACTGCACTCCTATGAGCCTTACTACCGCTTTGGTCAAGATAGTTAAAAGACCAATGAAGAAAGCTGTATTTGAGAAACATATTATCATCCAAAATACTTCAGAGTTTTCGGTGAAATACACTCTGTCTGACACAACTCACCTTTAGAGAGACCAGGGTCCAGCCCAAGGACAACAAGAATTGCATCTCCACTGTTTCTTCTAATTTGAGCAATGCTTCCGATAAGGTATCCTTTACAAGAATGTTCATGGGACAGGAAATCTGGTAATCAAGAGTGGTCTACTCAGCTAGATCGGGGGTTCCTTGTAGACGGAAGACATACGGTCTGGATTATCTGGAATCGTTTGACCGTAGTGTTGCACCAAAAGGTATGCAGCCTCCACTGACTAACAAACTGCCTGGGCTTACCAGGTTTCCCAGGGTTCTCCAAATAGTTGACGTGGAGAGCTAGTAGGGATGATGGAGAAATTCTTACATGGAGGCTGCAGTAGTCTACAACGCCGGTTAAACAGAGTGACTGAACGCGGACGAAATGGAGGAAATACCACCCTCACAGATCAAAGAGACACGGGCGCAGGCGGCACTGTATTTCATGATCAAGAAGCACGATACACTGTAATTCACTGGCGGCTCTGAGCATCAGCTCTAAATGAGCAACAAACAGTGCCTTCGCTCGAGTAATCAGTGAAGTCTTCACCATTCCATACACATCCAAGTAGCCAGCTTTTACCGAAGTATGGAGTCGCATGTTTTACCAGGTCATACATATGATATTTGGTGTGACTACTTAGTCATACAGCGAAAGATAAACAATGAATTCCGTTTTCTTTACTTTACTGTAGGCAGAAAGGGAATCTTTCAGAATGTCAAGGATGTCGGCGGCATAGCAGGGTACTCTGTAAACAGACGAAAGCATTTACACTGAAACCCCAGAAGTACTTGTTTTAATGAAGCCGGAAAGAAACGAAACAGAAGTAAGCAGAATGTAGGTCCAAAATACGATATATATTTTGTGATTGGAGACGTAGAACCATGATAGTCTGTTAACTAACTAGGGTTTGCGCACGAACAATTGTACCAAATGAGATGGATGCCTGACCGCATATCTTCAGCTTAATGAGACTACTTAAAAGGTAGTGGATAACACCCAACGTCGGGCGGCGAATATTGCAGACACTCTCATCATAGTGCTCGAAATTCCAAGAAGTGTTTTTGAACTTAATTTATCTTCCCTTTACAATGAACTAGAAATTCATAGGATACAGAGGGAGCATTCATACCTAAGGTGGAACTAAATGTGCTGAATACTGGTCTTCCCGCTAACTCGTATATACTTGGGAAAACTCCCACAAATAGTGTTATTTTCGGCCTCAATCGGCTTAAGCAAGAAGAAGCACCTGTATGAAATCACTGAAAAAGACTTGAAGCTTTCTATCGTCATTCAAAACTCTGAATTAGAAGTTGTCGTGCTGATATCCACAAATCAAATTGAGACTTTTATTATACAACACAGCAGGTAGATTAGTGTGGCCATAAAGTCTGATGCCTTAATAACCTGTAAACTTCAAAATGTGAAGTGTTAGCGATGGGCGGCTGCTTTTTGTTTATCTTGCTCAACTTTAATTAACTTCTGACTAGTGTCATTTTCAACTTAGCTACTATGGATTATATATTTATGACAGAGATTAAATTATTTTTTCCTTAGAGTCTTCGTAAAAAATGGGTAAGATTGATCTCTGAAGTGTTATATTACTTAATTTCATTTAAATTATTATTGTTTACTTTGAATTGGCAATAAATCGTCTTGTCCAGTTACTTTTTACTCCTATCAGGTTGAATACTGGACTTTTACTTTTCACAATGACCTCGTTAACTGTACTGACATACGTTTACACGCCTCATCAACCTCCCTAGTCCTTCCAGGCAGGATATTATTGGTGTATGAATTCACATTAGGTACGGTTAACAATTGTGATCACTAGTCTGTTATTTCGACTGTATGACAGAACTAACAAAAAACTACTGTAGTCGAAAAAGTCTCAAAAATCAGGGCGAAAGGTAATTATTTTTGAGAAGAATGCAAAAATAACAAAGGAGATGGTCTGTTAATCGCCCATCTTGATGTATTTACATATGAATAAATGTCTTATGTAGTTAAAATAGATTCGAAAACGTCTACATTTTGAGTCAGCCAAAAGTTGTTGGCTTCATCATCATTTGAAGGCTAGACGGAACGTTTTTAGAAAGCAGTACAGAAACCATGGTTTCTTGCAATACTTGCAAGTATTGTATCCTGGCATAATATAAGATTTCAGTTTTCAGATATATATGTCAAGCTATGAAATACTACTCATGGTTTATGAATTACTGTTTCAGTTAGTATCTGTTTTATCTTTCGTGAATGCGAACTCTTTAGTGCTTAAGTTTTAGTTTCTTAGCTATTACTGCGCCTGTATGAGCCACAGTCTAACAGATTATGTTTTCAACTTTTAACCATTACATCATGTTTTTACATCTCACTGTTTCTGTAAAATCAAATCTTGAAGTAATAAGTGTAGTCTGTAGCTTAACTACGTGCTTTCCAATTGTTACTGTTTCCCATCTGTTTGTTGCTTTCCGCATGAATTGAGAAATGCGAAATGTAACGTTAGTAAAAACAATATCGTTGTGTCTTTCATTCATTGGGAAACAGAAAAACTTATAATAATGAATTCTATCTCATAATTTATTTCACTGGGGCATATTTAATTATCATTAGGATTTTATAATTTTATGTTGTCTACCTGAATTATATTTACTGGCTTCTTATGATAGTTAAGTTGTATTACATATTGTACTAGTGTCACTAAGTAGACAAAGCATATTTCAAGTTTGGAGTAAGTTTACTTGACCAATTGCTACTACCTTGACCTGTGTTAGCTAGGGTTACACATCATAATGGCTCAGTGGGCCACACTGGCTGAAGTGGATGTGTTTCTACTATGCCCGAAAGGTTATTTTGATAGCTGTTGCGCTAAAAACAGTTACCATTATGGTGTAAGCCACTTACATTATGTTCAGGGTCCTAGAGCGAGGTCGTACTGCTGGCAAAGAGGGGTGTAACAACAGTATGTTATCTCCTTCAGACAAGCAGCAGGCCGACTGAGCTATCTCTTTGTTCCGAGGGAGAGGGTTTTAGGATATTTGAAGCCTCAAGCAAATGTCCCTTGAACTCAGACGTCATGCATCACTAATAAATTTGTTGATACTGTCTCGGTCTAAAATCTGTGGAAGGACTATAAGTCAAACGCCTCGTAGGTGACACGCAAAAATAAATTATTTTTATTAGGAATTTTCAGATAAATCTGTTTCTACACTTTGATATGATTAATACGCACCAGTGCGTCTCTAATCCTATTTTGATAGGACTAAAAATTAGAAAGACTTGAATCACTAAAAAATCGGACTTATTACGGAGATATCTTCAAAGGTATATTTTTTTGGGAAACCATTTGTTCTTATTAAGATTATACATTTAGGAAATTTAGCCACTATAGTCTAACATAAGTGCAGTACGGTGATAATCCCAATGGAAATGAAGGTTTAAGTAGCAATAATTTGGGAATGTACAATCTGTTACTTTATATTTTGATAATAACTGAGCTTTCATATCGTAAATTAATAGTTTTAGGCTGGACTTCTTACAGGATTTTTCGTCTTTACTGCTAAAATTTCTCAAATTATTATGAAGTAGCTATCCAGGGCTCTTCTTTTACTATTGAGGTCAGGCTTCCAGTGTTAGGTGAGGAGGAAAAATCAGTCCATAAGGTTATGAAGCTACATCGCCTTCCTTTACGGGCAGTGTTTTATGACACAGGACCAGGTTGGGAAAAAGATTCTGGGTTCTTGTTTGGGGTCTTCAGGGTGGTAATAACTAATTACAGCTGGATACAGTTGGTGATATGGCGAATATGTATTCTCTTTGTGATCTTCCATACCCATCAAACCCTAATCTTTCTCCATGTTACTGTGTTTTCTCCCTGAGTTTTGTGCTTATTACAGGTCCTTTTGAATTCTTTTCCTTTATGTATCTTTTCTGCCTTTGTGCGCCACTTTTGGAGTGTGGCGCCTTGTACTGCTACACTTCTGTGCAGAGTTCTATCTCGAAACTCAGTCAGTCAACCCAAGCTCTTCCTTCATTACTTTCATTCCTAGTAGAATATAGAGCATCCAGCTTTGAAGTTTCATTAGCCTTGATCTTATTCTTGTGAGATAGGTTCGCTAGCTAACCTCATGCACAACGCTTTTCCCCTCTTTTCTAAGGCTTACTACTGACTAGTAAATTAGGCAAGGTTTAGAGGGAGGGGGTGTCGACTGATAGTTACACCCAAACCTCAAACATCACAAGTGAGCGTCAAACACACATGAGCTACCGGTATATTTATCAGTGCTCTCCGATCAAATACCCTCGTATTGATAGTGTCCATTCTTTAAGGCATTTAATGTGAAATTAACTGAGTTCTCACGATCATAGAATCTAATTATGAGATAATCTTTTTTGAAAGATGCTCACTGGCATATTACAAGAATAGAAAAGCAAATATATCAGTAAAAATTCTTGTTTCGGCGAGCTCATTTACATAATTGTACAATCTCATATTTGTACTAGTTTTTGATGTGTTCTTCGAAGTAGTCAGTCAACTATATCAACGCCAAAAAATAAATCATAAGATCATTCTCATGATAAGATAAATAGAAATTATCTATAGTATGATGTTGATATATTCTTAGGCTAGTCAAAAGTACTGAGTTGAACGACGTTTTTTTGTTTTCACTAATGCCTGGATAATGATTATCGGTAAATTGAAAGATAGTAAGGACCTCTCGATAGTCAATTAACCCCGTGGGTTTCAGCGGTACTTGTTGTCAAGCTTACTGCAGTGTACATGAAAATTAAGGCAAACTGCTTGTTTTGTTTTCATTAACTTCGAATATGTTCAGTTATTATACTTGTAATTTATCAGATATTGCTTCAACGGTACATCGCCGTCTTGTTTTCTGAAATCATTTTTGTGCGGCCCCAAGACTACTCATAGGCTCTCACTTCCTTCTGACACAGGTTGCTGCATGTCACTGTCGGACTGGTTTCAACGTAGAACTTTGTACAAATGTGCATCAGTACAAGTTGCCACACTCCTTCCTTGCAGCACACAAACCAAGAGAAGAGTGTAAAGCGTGGTTCAAAAGGCAGATAATAAATTGAAGTTACATGGAAGAAGAATATAGTTTTATTGGACACAACAAATGACAAAGAGTGAATGCATCTGCGCCAACTACCACTGAAAACGAAGATTTTGAGCCATATCACCAACTGTCTCTAGCTGTCACTGGTTCTTACCGTCCCGATAACCCCAACCAGTCAGGCAACCAGTCAACACATCTCTTCGTGGCTGGATGGCTGGATTAAACTAACTGTTATACATCTCACTGACTGATGAAGCCATGTTTTCGTTCGATCACCATGCACTATCTCTTTTCCAACCTGATCGATGCTATGTCAGCTAACATCGCTTGCCGAGGAAGGCGATCAGTGGCTAGCCATGCATATGTAACACATGTCCCAAGCATCACCTCAATCGATGTAACTTCATAACCTCGTCGACTGATTTTCCCTCCTAAACTATTGCTTGACCGATGCTTCACCTCAATATTACACACCCTATTATACCTACCACCTAACATGGGAGATAGAACGCAGACAAATATGGTGAAAGACAGCTAGTCAGGGTTTCCATGTCTTCCACTTTCAATGGTTTCAATTGATAAAGAAGGACAGAGAGAACTGGTGAGTAGTACACGTATCCTTTGGCCTACAGTCGGATATCACGTCTGAGGCAGAGATGCTGTAGTAGTCCCTGTATTCATTCCAGCCATTATAACTCGTTGGATCATTGCAATGTTCAAGCCCAAACACCACGTCAAGATAGCAGCTGCCGGTCGATCCTGGGTAGGTGTGATTGGGATTTGGACTCGTAACCACAAGAGCGCCCGCAGTCTCTCATCCCCCCTTCACATGATCTCCTCACTGTTACCTTCGGACCGATACCCAACTCGTCGTTACCTATTCAGATTCCACTCAAGCCATACCACAGTGTGTCCGATTAATCTCAATTTTCTTCTACATATTTTTTGAGCAGTTGATTCTTGGTTGGTTCTTCCTAAGTCTTGGAAGTTAATCGTTTCAGCACGGCCATTAAATCTTCATTATAGAGCCAGTGAAGGTACCAGTTGATACAAGTCTGCCATAACCTTTTAGAAATGGTGTTCATTGCGCGTGTGCCAAATTTCTGACACATAGAAGAAGTGACTTAAAGGTAGCGTTGAAAATTCTAATCTTGTTCTTTATGTTTAGTGGAGATTTCCAAACTGATTTCAGAGTGACGGAGGACAGTCTCGCCTTTCCTGTTTGAGTTTTGCCATTCTTATCCAAGTTATCGCTTGTAGTTGAAACGCTTCTGCCTAGAAGAAGTGGCCTCTTTCAAATTTTCCCGGTCGACAGTTATTGGTGCTTGTTGTTGCTGTTGGTTGGTTGATTATCTGCATCGCCTCCGTCTTCTCTATGTTTACTTGAATTCCCGTCTTCTCTGACTTCTCCTTCTGCCATTTTATGGGTATTCTCCTGTATGTCTTCGAATTCATGTGACATTAAATATAAATGGTCCTCCATGTTCAAGTCTTCTGGTG